TATATATGTAGGTCTATTTATGTAGCTGTTTAGGTGTATATGTCCTTACATCCCAGAATTCAAACACCAACATTAAAAAAAAAACTGCATTCAAAAGTCAACGCTACATACAAATGCACAACTGCATTTGAATGCCAACAGTACAAACATACCACTGCATTCAAATAGCAATAGTACCATCACTTTTTGCTCTTTGAATTAGATCAAGTTACAGAGCAGGAGATACAAAAAATTGTAAAGTAAGTTAAAATCTGATTGAAATGAAACCATTTTTTGCATGCAAGCTGTGTGAGTCACAGCCAGGGCTGCATAAACAGAAACAAAAGTGATTTAACTCATAAATGACCAAGAATTGAGCAGAGAGACTGCATGAGCATGATCTATGAACTAAAACTGCTTCATTAAAGGGACACTCATTGGAGTGGTCTGGGTGCCAACTCCCACTACCCTTAACACTGCAAGTGTAATTACGGCATTTTTCATAAACTGCAATATTTACCTTGAAGGGTTAAGTCCTCCTCTAGTGGCCGACGAAAAGTGTGTTATAACGACGCTGGACGTCCTCGCACTATGTGAGGACCTCCAGCGTCTTCAAAATCCCCATAGAAAAGCATTGAAAGCATTAGTCAATGCTTTCCTTTGAGAAGGTCTAACGCGCGTGCGTGGCCATGCCGTGCATGCGCATTAGGTCTCCCCCACCACCAGCCGCGCATGCTCAATAGGTCTCCCCTGCCGGCTAACGTCGGCGGGGAAGGACCGTAGGCGGAGTCTGACCCAGCGCAGAGAGACATTGGCGCTGGATACAGGTAAGTCACTGAAGGGGTTTCAACCCCTTCAGCAACATGGGAGGGAGAGGGGACCTGCAGTGCCAGGAAAACGGTTTGTTTTCCTGGCACTGGAGAGTCCCTTTAAGCTAAAGTTGTTTTGGGGACTAAGGTGTCCCTTTAAACTATAATAAATGTTTTTATAAAAATAAGAATAAACTCGCCCCTGGCCACACCACCAGTCACACTTTTAAAAATTAAAGTATCCTTTTTTCATAGTTTGAAATGTTGGGAGGTATGCTACTAAAGGCCATTACACGAAAGTTGCTGCCCCTATATAAAATTCATATACTTTAGACAGGAATTGAACTAACTGATCAAGGAGAAATCCCAAGATAACTGACTGGATAATGTAATTGATCTCCCTCTGGTAACATCATTCAAATCAGTACTTTTTATACTTTTAATGGAATCATAAGTTTAATTGTAACAGATTTCAGAAACCAAAAACACTCTCTCTCGCTCTATTATGCAGCCCATGGGAAGTTAACCTTATTTGCATATACTCATTTAGTAACTCGCTCACTTATTTATTGGTTATGCTAACTTCTTCCCATTCACCGAACTGAAGTTTAATAAACGTTTGTGGAACCTACAGTTGATATTGGTGTGTAGTTGCATTTGGGACCCCCAGGTGCACCTGACCATGATTTCCCTGCTACCCATTGTATATTATTTTACTTTGACATTTACACTGCCTTTTAGCAATTTCTATGATGTGTTGCAAGGACACAATATAATTTAAACATTTCACTCTCATACCTGTAAAGTGCTTTTTATAAGTGGAGTTCATGTATCACACTACGTCTATTGAGCCGTCACTGATAAATTATATGAACTCCATATATTAAATAATAAAATCCATTTAAACATTCACGGTGTCTCCATGTCTATAATTCGTATGTCCTGCTCTACAGATTATTGTTCCAATGCAATGCTTAATTGAAGACAGCTGTCTAACGACTGGCCTCTAAACACAAACGATTTAACTCTTTATCCTTTTACAGTTATTTGTAAACCACTATACTATGATTGAAAAGCAGCACGGTGATGATATTACTTGGCTTAAGGACTGTACAGCATGTATACTCCGTATGCAAGAAACCGACAAGACAATTTGACTTACAAAAATATGAGCTATTAAAAAGCCTCTCTCAAGCAAGTTTCTATTTTAAAAGTGTCTTGTTTGGAAATTTCATTAGAGCACAAAGCATCTGTACACAAACACCTGTTTAGACCTGTAACTATAACTATGATGGAGAATTTTTCCAAATCAATTATTTTGGCCTATTTTTTTAAAATTTAGTTTTCAGAGTTTAGTAAATAAACCCCAGTGACTTTCTAAAATTCTCCAACTCTGCTGTGGTTTAACCTAAAACTAATAGTTCCATTGAAACTTCTAAAACACCTACTGAATAAACTGTTATGTATGTTACTGGTATGCACGGTCTAATCTCATATGCTTGGCTATGCCAGAAGTAGCCATTAAAGGGAATGTGTCAAACACCTAAAGCACTAGCTTGCTGAAAAGTGCCTGAAGAGTGTGTCCTCTTTTTCATTTTACCAAAGTGCTGATTTCAATTGAAATGGGCACTTTTATAAATGAACCTTGTTACTTTCCAGTTGTTTAGCTTAACCCCGTAAGGACACATGACATGTGTGACATGTCATGATTCCCTTTTATTCCAGAAGTTTGGTCCTTAAGGGGTTAATGGAGTTAAACTCAAGATTCAGACAATTGCCCAGAGCATCTTCCTTGCAAAGACTTCTCATTGAGTTGCGTTGTGAAGACTGTGATTGGACAGCCACAGAATGTCTGGACTTGGGAAAAGGGGGAGGGCTTGCAAAGGCAGCATTCAAGAGATTTGCATATTCTCTCAAATTGTTTTTAGATAACGGAAAAAAAAGAAGCATATTTTCATTGGGCATATATCTACTAAACAGTGATTTATTTATTTTGTATTTGGTCAGTGGAGCATCCATTTAATTGATTAGACAATTTAAAATGTTAGGACAAAATAGCAAAACTGGTATAATAGCTGAAATAATGGTTACTCTAGCAATCTTATCTACAATAGAAAACATTTTTCATTTTTGTGTCCTAATATTATAATTACCAGATTCAGACTGGCCATTGGACAAACCGGCAAATTCGTGGGGAGTCCTGATGATCATGGTAGGACTTGCCTGGGAAATCTGAGGATCTCTCCTCCCCATTCAGTCTATTAATACGAACTTCCATTTCTTACATAGTTACATAGCTGAAAAGAGACTTGCGTCCATCAAGTTCAGCCTTCCTCACATTTGTTTTTGCTGTTGATCCAAAAGAAGACAAACCTTACCCCCCCAGTTTGAAGCACTTCCAATTTTGAAAAAAATTCCTTCTTGGCAGTCAGATTTATCCTTGGATCAAGCAGTTATTACCCTACATTGAAAAATTATATCCTTGAATATTCTGTTTTTGCAAGTATGCATCTAGTTGCTGTTTGAACATCTGTATGGACTCTGATAAAACCACTTCTTCAGGCAGAGAATTCCACATCCTTATTGTTCTTACAATAATGCCTTAATCTGATTTCTTCCAGTCTAAACGCATGGCCTCGTGTCCTATGTAAAGTCCGGTTTGTGAATAGATTTCCACACAATGGTTTGTATTGGCCCCGAATATATTTGTATAATATTATCATATCCCCTCTCAGGTGACGTTTTTCTAAACTAAAGAGGTTTAAATTTGTTCACCTTTCTTCACAGCTGATTTGTTCCATTCCTTTTATTAATTTTATAGCCCGCCTCTGCACTTTTTTTGTGCCATAATATCCTTCTTTAGAACAGGTGCCCAAAATTGCACAGCATATTCAATATGGGGTCTTACCAGTGATTTATAAAGAGGCAAAATGATATTCTCATCCTGAGAATGAATGCCTTTTTTCATGCATGACAATACCTTACTGGCCTTAGCCACTGCTGATTGACATTGCACATTGTTGCATAGTTTGCTCTCTATAACAATTCCCAAGTCCTTTTCGTGTGTTACATAGAAACATAGAATGTGATGGCAGATAAGAACCATTCGGCCCATCTAGTCTGCCCAATTTTCTAAATACTTTCATTAGTCCCTGGCCTTATCTTATAGTTAGGATAGCCTTATGCCTATCCCACGCATGCTTAAACTCCTTTACTGTGTTAACCTCTACCACTTCAGCTGGAAGGCTATTCCATGCATCCACTACCCTCTCAGTAAAGTAATACTTCCTGATATTATTTTTAAACCTTTGTCCCTCTAATTTAAGACTATGTCCTCTTGTTGTGGTAGTTTTTCTTCTTTTTAAATATAGTCTCCTCCTTTACTGTGTTGATTCCCTTTATGTATTTAAATGTTTCTATCATATCCCCTGTCTCGTCTTTCCTCCAAGCTATACATGTTAAGATCCTTTAACCTTTCCTGGTAAGTTTTATCCCGCAATCCATGAACCAGTTTAGTAGCCCTTCTCTGAACCCTCTCTAAGGTATCAATATTCTTCTGAAGATACGGTCTCCAGTACTGTGTCCAATACTCCAAGTGAGGTCTCACCAGTGTTCTGTACAATGGCATGAGCACTTCCCTCTTTCTACTGCTAATACCTCTCCCTATACAACCAAGCATTCTGCTAGCATTTCCTGCTGCTCTATTACATTGTCTGCCTACCTTTAAGTGCTGTTATCCCTAATTCGCTTCCATTAAGGGTATACGTTGCTTGTGCATAACTTTGCAATTTTCAACATTAAATATCATCTGCCATTTGAGTGCCCAGTCCCCCAGTCTATCTAAATCCCTCTGCAGCAAAGTAATATCTTTCTCACATCGTATTACTTTACATAGTTTTGTGTCATCTGCAAACACTGAAACATGACTTTCAATGCTTTCTTCAAGATTATTTGTAAACATGTTACATTTCTGATGCGACTTATGAGCACGCACAGGAAACACTGAAGAGAGGGGTGATGAACATGTCTAAGTCCATTCAGCAGGACCATACCTGACACAAGCTTTTGGCCGCCAGTGAGGCACAAGTAGACTTACAAAATGAATAGGATCCATGGTAGTGGTGAACAGAAATGGACTCTATTGGGAAATAGACAAAATAGGCAGAACAGATAGGAACTGTGGATATCTTTATTTTAGTGGCTTTATTTTAGTGGGACTTTAGTTCCGAAAGGGTTCTAAAGAGAAACTGAAAAAATTGGAATGCATGGAGGATTTTAGAAGGACAGGGAGGGACACAAAAGGTACATATTTAACCAGAAGAGATGAGTTGGTAGGGGAACAAAGGTGAAACAGGAGGAACAGCATAAATTAAATGAGGAGTATAGGATACCAGAAGGACAGAGGACCTTCACAGAGCCAAGAAACCACAAGTGGTAGAGCATAAATCAAAGGGATATGCTTGATCACTAGCTAGCGAAATTGGGAGTTTTCCTTTTAACATTAAATAGTAATAATAAATAACAGACAGGTGGGCAGTGATGAAGGTGTCCCTCCTATGTTTTGCACAGGGCACCTGAATGTCTAAGGCCAGCCCTGTGTAGATCACAATCATAGAGGAGCATCATCATCGTAGCTGTTGTTCTAATGCAATGTTTCTGGAGAGCATCTGTTCCAGTACACAGGTAAGGAATTGAGGACATAATGTTACATAATATCGCTGTTTCAAACACAGCCCCCTCTCCACCAGAAGGAGACATATAAGGGCAGATCACTGCAGAGCCAGATTATCATCAAGATGGTGCTCAGTTACCCTGAATACCTCTTGGTTTCTGAAAAAGTGGCTGTAATTATTGGAAACACCTCAGCCTATTGTGTGCCCCAGTTACATACAAAAAAATGAACTGCAGTTTCTTATTTTTATTTGTGAATTTGTTGTTAAATCAAATACAGATTTAGTTTTTAGCTTGTCAAATAGTTTATCAGTTACATTTAGAATTCATTAGGAAAAAAAATATATGATAATCAAACACAGATATAAAAAATCAGAGGTTATTTACCAAGGTACTGATAAAGATGTGTTAAAGTAGAGGATTGTAATTCACCATAAACTTAAATAATTAATACAATTAATTTATAACTAAACAATGAAAAATGTTACATATGAATTTTGCTGGCCCGCAGGATTCATTTGTGGGGTTGGGCTGGGATTGCAACTAATCAAGAACATTTTGTGATTTCTCCTAGATTAATGAATTTTACTTCATAGAGAACAGCCGATTCCCTAAACCAGGAGTGCCGAAAAGGTAATGCCCAGGTGTTGTAGAACAACTCCCATGATGCTTTGCATGCCTTTGGAATGCTTTTAGAATGACACCCTGTCACCCTCCCCCCCCTCTCCAAATCAATAAATCTTTATGAAATACTCACATTTATTGTGCTGGGATGTCACTGAAATTCCAATGCAGTTAAATTATAAAGGAATACAAAAAAGAGATTACTTTGTCTTACGCTTGAGGCAGAGCCACTGCTGTCAAGTTTTGCAATTACCCCCAGCTGTCACAAGTGATGGCATTAGTTGAAAAAGGCTCTGTCTATGGAGGATCCTATGAAACCTCCATAGGACTCTGTGTTGTATTCTTGTGCATGTGCAAGAGTACAGCACTGACGTGGGCTCCTGGCAGATGAAGCACCAGGAGCTGAAGAGGACCAGCAGGGAGAGTATAGTGATGGGACAGGTTTAGGTAAGTAAAAATCACCTTCCCCTGCACACGGCAGCCACTGGACAACCCGAGGAACAGTCACTGTGGGAAGTCTTTGCAAAATATGAAAAGACCCAAGACGTGACATAGTTGCTTTAAAGGGACACTTCAATAGAAAGTGACACTTTTATAAATTAACCTGGTTACACCTCATATGCTTTCAAGCTGACAACAGATAATGTTACTTCTTCCTAGTTGCTTGGCTCAGTGGAGCTAAACTCAAGAGGTAGCAATTGCTCAGAGCACCTGACTTGCAAAGACTTCTTATTGAGCTGCATTGGGAAGTCTACGATTGGACAATCACAGAAAGACTGGGTGGGGTTAGAAAGGGAAGGCTTGCAAAGGCTACAGACAGGAGATCTGTAGCTATTACAGGATGTTTTCATATCGAACGGTATAACCCCTTGTGGTAAGAATGCACTTGGGGTCTCCTGGCACTATAACAACTTAATTTAGATTATGTTGTCATCGTGCCTTGAGCATTCCTTTAATGCTGAAAATGCATCGAGGGAGTTCTGAAAAAGATTAGCGTCTAGCTTTTGAGACAGCCATGTTCTTCCCTACAGTATAAATATTTTACAATCATGTTTAATTAAAATTGTTGTATGGCCACCACATGCAAAAAAAAAAAAAAAAAAAGACGTGGCATTTTATGATGGCAAAAACTTTTTTTTATATGTGCCTCACACAACCCACTGCCAGTCATAAAAAAAAAATAAAAATAAAAAATGACTCTAAAATCATTAAGATTTACAAATGATTGAAAACAATTCATTAAATAACATCTGATGAGTTTAAAGTAAGTTTCAATAAATCCATAGTTGTGTAATTTATTATTCTATTTTCTCAGTTCATATGAGTCAATCAAGGGCTTGATGGTGTATGACATCTGCTTTCTAAGCACTTGACAGCAAGGTAGACGTGAAGATTTGCTGCAATATTTGTGGAATCTGCTTTGTATCCATAGCAACAAAGGATCGCCCAGCTGGAAGTGTCCTCTGCAGTCTGCAGTTCAGAAAGGAAGGGAGGAAGAACATTAGCAATGCAAATCAACCTATTATAGACAGGGCTCCCTTCTGAATAACACATAGACAGATTCTATTCATTCTCCTATTACTGGCTGAATAAAAGCTTAGGAACAGTCTAAAGGGTTGTACTAATACAAGCTGATACATCATGAAAGGCCACACAAGGACACATCTGGACTGTTACTGCAAACTCGTTTTCACTTATCTCCAGAATTCTTTCAGTTCTACTTCCCCTCTCATTATACCCGTTCGTCTATCTGATACACAGAACTAAATGAACAAACTCTCCTGTTATGTAAATCGGATTCTAAAAGAACTGTAAATACACATTAGTAATGGAATAGAAGGCAAGACTGCATAATGCCAATATATATTAACGTAAAACTTACAAAAATCGATTTTGTTTAATTTTTATTCTTTATTATTTTCAGGATTCTTTATTGTGTTTTTTTCTAAGAAATGTTATACATATCAAAGCTCTGTCGCTTTCACAAGCACAGTAGCCTATGTAACATGCATTCAACTTACTATAATGTTTGTCTATGTAGCTGTCAGTAAATTAGCTATGTCTGACCATATCCATTCATAGAAACTATGATGTCAGAGGTGTGAAGGGAGTTAGTCCTGCAATGATTATTGGGTGCAGTTTAAGGATTCTTTCATGCCTATTTTCATCCAGTAGGTCAAATAATCGACCATTTAAATGTGGGAATATAGCACTATGTCTGTGTGATCTTTTTTGTACTGTAGGTATAATGAACAAAGCTCAGGGCCGGACTGGGGATACAAAGCAGCCCTGGAAAAAAAATAATCTATACCAGCCCCATAAGCCATTGTGCCATATATTGTCGCATGTAATATGTAAGGCTATGTCTTGCCTCCCCAGATGATTGAGTTTTATATATATATATATATATATATCAGGGCTCGACAAATCCCAGGCGCCCGGTCGCCATGACGACTCAATATTTTGTCCTGGCACCTGGGATTGGTCAGCCCGTTCCCTCCTCCTCCTGTGTCGATCCCAGTGCAGCGCTGTGTGCGCCAGGAGGTAGTGAATAACTAATTACTTCCTTCCCGCAGAGGCATATGATGTCATATTCCGGCCCCGGTCTCATTAAGCTGCGCGCTGGGGAGCAGAGACAGCCTGCTCCCCCTGCGGCCGCCAGAAGAGCTCCCCCTGCGGCCACCATCCAAGTTCTCCCTGCGGCCGCCAGCACACCTATCTGTCTGCCCACCCACAGGTAGCAAAAAGTATGTATGTCAGTCTGTCAATGGGAGTGTGTGTGTTTGTCTGTGTCATGCTGTGTGTGTCTGTCTGTCATGGTGTGTGTGTGTATGTGTCTGTCTGTGTCATGCTGTGTGTGTCTGTCTGTCATGGTGTCTGTGTCTGTCTGTCATGGTGTTTGTGTGTCTGTCTGTGTCATGGTGTGTGTCTGTCTGTCATGGTGTGTGTGTGTGTGTCTGTCTTTGTCATGGTGTGTGTGTCTGTGTCATGTGTGTCTGTGTCACGGTGTGTGTGTCTGTATCATGGTGTGTGTGTCTGTCTGTGTCATGGTGGGTGTGTGTGCCTGTCATGGTGTGTGTCTGTCTGTGTCATGGTGTGTCTGTCATGGTATATGTGTGTGTCAAGGTGTGTGCATGTCTGTCATGGTGTGTGTGTGTGTCTGTGTGTGCAAAAAAAAAAAAAAAAGACGTGGCATTTTATGATGGCAAAAACTTTTTTTTATATGTGCCTCACACAACCCACTGCCAGTCATAAAAAAAAATAAAAATAAAAAATGACTCTAAAATCATTAAGATTTACAAATGATTGAAAACAATTCATTAAATAACATCTGATGAGTTTAAAGTAAGTTTCAATAAATCCATAGTTGTGTAATTTATTATTCTATTTTCTCAGTTCATATGAGTCAATCAAGGGCTTGATGGTGTATGACAAGTTCACAGCATGACACAGACAAACACACACACTCCCATTGACAGACTGACATACATACTTTTTGCTACCTGTGGGTGGGCAGACAGATAGGTGTGCTGGCGGCCGCAGGGAGAACTTATGTGTCTGTCTGTGTCATGCTGTGTGTGTCTGTCTGTCATGGTGTCTGTGTCTGTCTGTCATGGTGTTTGTGTGTCTGTCTGTGTCATGGTGTGTGTCTGTCTGTCTGTCATGGTGTGTGTGTGTCTGTCTTTGTCATGGTGTGTGTGTCTGTGTCATGTGTGTCTGTGTCACGGTGTGTGTGTCTGTATCATGGTGTGTGTGTCTGTCTGTGTCATGGTGGGTGTGTGTGCCTGTCATGGTGTGTGTCTGTCTGTGTCATGGTGTGTCTGTCATGGTATATGTGTGTGTCAAGGTGTGTGCATGTCTGTCATGGTGTGTGTGTGTGTCTGTCATGGTATATGTATGTGTCATGGGGTGTGTGTGTGTCTGTCATGGTGTCTGTGTGTTTTTAAAAATAGTGTTTTACTCACCTTTTTTTTTCTCCCAGCGTCGTGCTGGTCTCCCCTCGACTGGCCCTGCCTCTATGACTGAGATCATCAAGCTTGATGATCTCAGCCAATCCGCACTGACACGGGAAGCGCCTCTAGTGACCGTCTGAGTGTCTGTCACTAGAGGTGTCACTAGGAAGCAATGTAAACACTGCCTTTTCTCTGAAAAGTCAGTGTTTACATTCAAAAGCCTGCAGGGACAGGCTATAGACACCAGAACCACTACATTAAGCTGTGTGTGTGCCTGCTAGT